ATATATATATATATATATATATATATATATATATATATATATATATATATATATATATATATAAAGGTTATTTTGTCAATATATCTTTGTTTTAGTTTTACTATTACTGAACAAATGTGCGGTCAGTCTAATGTTTGTGTGTGTCGAGGGGATTGTTGTTGTGAGTCCGTGGGGTGGTTGATGATGTGGGATTGCTTGTTGCATCGACTGTCCGGCTGCCACCTCTAAACAACACGGCTCTTAACCTACAGCGACGAATGCCGTGTAGATGGAATGTTTGCGTTAACAGTGCAGCTGATGACAGTGACCTCCCACGAGATGTAGGCTGCATGATTGCTTAATGTTGGTCATTGGGAACAATTAGTCTACCCTACAAGCAGTTCTCGTGCAAAGACTGTCTGAGACCAATCATTAGAAGCTCATTATTTCCGACATTTGCAATTTTTTTGTCACATTTTTCTTAGAAAAAAAAATTGGAGAAAGGGGGTCGGGGGGCGCTGGGGTGTAACCAAGATATCTGAGTTTTAGTACGATACATGACATATTTTCATTATTATCCACAGCCCAGACTATAGTCGCTAGAGAAATTCAAGGTCACGTTGTTGGGGGTTTAAATACAGTTACATAATTGTAACATCGTGATAAAACCCAGTCCCGTCTTAAGTACCGAAATTCATGATTGGTATTAATAAGCCACGTGAATCTTGGATGAGTTTTACTCTATGATCAATAAACACTAAACGGAAACGTAATGATGTTATAACAATACTGGGAGTCTCAAACCAGGCCGGCACAACTCAAAATTTAAGGCGAGCCGTAATACTTTATGAAAAACTTGTGTGGGCCGAAATATAATAGGAATGGGGGGGGGGAGCTATTAAGAAAATGATAATAATAAAGAAGATTTCCTTACTTCGCGGTCCGCCAAGTGGGTCGCGGGGTGTATGTTGTGCACGCCTGGTAGAAACAAATTAGTTACTGTTGTTGACCACAGTATCGTTAAAAAAAAAAAAAACAATTCAAAAACAACGCTTGACTGTAAACGACATAAAAAAAAAGATTTCGACACCCTATCCCAACAAAACAACGAAACAATCCAGCAACAATCGATTGTCATATTCTCATATATACATTTTAAATCCCTGAAATTTTATTTTAAATCCTTCAATGAATACACCTACATAGGCATCCCCCACCCCTTTTTTGTCTCTATCTCTAGGCAAATAAAAAACCAACCCAAAATGACATTTAAAAGCACTTTGCGATGAGCCCTATGTGCACAGTGTGAGATCCAACGCACAAATACAACAAGGGTCAGTGACGTGTTCATTTACCAATGCCATCGCTCAGCACTAATAAATTACTATAGCACACACGAGTGGATGTCGGCAATGCTAAAAACTAAAATGGAAGAACTGCCAAGCGACAGTCCATACGTGAGTCAGAAGCAATGGTCTCGGAGAGCTGCAGCTGACGACAACTTGTCCAAGATCCAGTGTTTGTCCGTCAATGGGAACATCTCCACGATCTCACTGTGTGAACTCTCCATACGTAAGTCAAGCTTTTTTTTAAAAAAAATCCTTATACTTATATGTTAACCCCGCTTTTGTTCGTGTGTTTTTTTTTCTGGCTGGGTGTGTGGCAAAGATCTTCGGAAGGCTAAATTGATCCACTTCCCGTCAACTTATCAAGCTGAAATTTGGCTCATAGACTCGTTGCCGACGACAATACATTCTTTCAAATTTTCAGTAACTTTAGACTCGTTGCCCATGACAATACATTCTTTCAAATTTTCAGCAACCCAAACCAAAAAAAAAAAATAAGTTCTTCCCATTTCTCAAGGGGAAGATAAAGGAACTTTTATGCTAATAATTTCATGAAATAATCTTCCCAATACCTGCGCTAAAAGAGATTCTTTAAAAAAAAATAGATACTCGCAAGTGCATTTGGTGCGTAATATTTTCTCTTCTTTTTTTTTCTGAAATAGTTGGTGAAATAAATCTTCGATGTAAAAGTTGATGGGAAATTAGAATATTAATATAGAATTTAAAATGATAAAAAATGCATGAAAATTATTTATACGAAAACTTTATTTTAAAGAGATTTTATATTGCACGTCAGTCGTAGGATTGATCCGATTATAAAAATACATAATTCTCTATATGTAACAATTAATCTCACTAACGCTAAGGTTCAAAAGCGCGAAAAATAAAATTCCCAATAGCTGAGATTAAAAAGACTCGTAAAAATACCGCAAGTGCGTTTTAGGCATAATATTTTCTTTGGTTATACGAAAATAGTTGGCGTTATAAATATGCGGTGTAAAAGGGAGTGGGACATTAGAATATTAATATAGCTGACGAGGAAGGCTCACTGTTTGAGCACAATCCTCAGAGAATTGTGCTCACTGTTTGAGCACAATCCTCAGAGAATTAACGCACCGCTTTAGTAACATACTAAAAAAGGCATGGACCCACTGGGCACTGGCCCAGGGCCTCACGCTTCTAAGGGGCCTCAAGCGTCTAGGACACGCACTCTTTTAGAGGTATCATACTTTACATATTTTTAATGACTTTGAAAGATTTTGGCAATGTGTTTTAAAAGTCAGTAGAAAAACGTTTCCTAATTGTAATTTAGGATATTATCGGCACATTCTAAAAATTAATATTATAAATGCGAATCACAAGTTGGCCATTTCTTTTAAAGGGAAATAACTCTTGTCAACAAGTTTCATTTCTTCCAGATATGGATCGAAAAAAATTAAGTTAGAATTTTTGTTTACACTCATGTTGGACTCGAGGCCAAGGTGTTAGTCCCGAGAGGTAATAACCCTATCTTGGCCGTACTGAGTAGTGATTTTAGCGGAGAAAAGCAGTGCCGTGTTTAGGCATGGGAACAATGCGCACTTTCCCGGGGTCTCATCATACCTCTAGGTGGTCTCATGCTCGAGGAGGCCCTCAAGCCTCCAGTCTAGGCCTTGAGGGCCTCGGCTCTTTGGGTCATCACCCCTCTAGACTCTAGGGAACCTCACGCCTCTAGGGAACCTCAGGCCTCTAGGGCTGCCAATATTATTAGAGAATATTGACATATTTCAAAGAGTCTTACAAAAGGCACCAAAATGTCCAAACGTTCATTATTTAGTAATTTAAATGAAGAATGTTATAGGAGTTAGAAATTCCAAATAAACTTATTATTAAGTTACTGAATTTGTTTGGAAATTTATGCTGTCTCATTTTCCCTCAGATAAATCACATTAATAAATATATGACTTTTTTGTTAATATTTCTATTCTTTTTTCTTTTAAATAAATTGTTTTAACTAGCCATACACAAGTCTACAAAACAGCATTTTTCTCATTTTTTAAACTGTAAATTTTGGGAAAACCTACTTAAGTTTTACATTAGATCCAAAATGATAATTATTAAAATAACATACTTATAGATTGATTTTGTCATTTTTTTTTCTTTTATAAGACAAAACAATCTATAAGTATATTACTTACTTACTTACTTGGATGCGGCTATTCGGACCCGTTGAGAGTTTTGGTTTATTAAAAAATATTTAAAAATTATTGTAGGGTTTGTAATACAAAATGGAACCGGATAAGCATCGCCGCTATTCTGACCCAGGTCCCATTAAACTCAATGCTATTCGGATTTCATTTGTGGTAGTTTATTTTAGTTAAACTGAAGAATTAAGTTTACAAACATATAGTCAATTCAATTATCTTTCATTTGATACCAAATTTTATCTTACAACCTAACAATAATATTTTATTTTAAATTTTAATCCCAAGCTCTCACTTCGCGTACCCGGGTTCAAATAGCCACTTCGTACTTACTAATGCCTTTCTACCTCATCTGGATCATAGGCCATCTACAAGAACTTTCCACTCATCACATCCTGTGCTTTCCTTTCCAATGTCTTCCAGGTGTATCCCATATTTTGCGTGTCAGCCTCTAGTTCGCGTCTCTGTGTATTCTTAGGCCTTCCTCTCTTTCTTTTTCCCAATGGGTTCCATGTTAGGCATTGTCTGGTGATGCTATCTGTGGGTTTTCAGAGCGTATGCCCTATCCATCTCAACCTTTTCTTTATGATATCTTCATCAATGGGCACCTGGTGTGTCCTTTCTAGTAGATCTTTGTTATTGATAGTATTTGGCCATTTGATTTTCAGGATCTTTCTAAGGCATGTGTTTATGAATGTCTGCACTTTCTGCTTAAGGCTCGCTGTTGTTTTCCAAGTTTCTGCACCATAAAGTAGGACTGTTTTGACATTTGTATTAAAGATTCTGACTTTGGTTTGTAGTTTTAGCTCCTTCGACTTTCATATTTTCTTTAATAATACAAATGCTGATCTAGCTTTTCCAATTCTAGCCCTTACGTCTACATCGGTTCCGCCATTTGTGTCTATGGTGCTGCCTAGGTATGTGAAGGACTCCACTTCTTCCAGTGCCATTCCTGCCAGATAGATATGCTCATGGTTCGATGGGTTTACCTTCATGATTTTTGTCTTGCTTTTATTTAAATTGAGACCAAGCTGTGCTGAATGGTGGCTATGGTATCCCATTCCTCTTTTAGTCTGTGGATTTTTTCATTATCCAGTCAAAGGCAATGATTAATAGCAATGGGGAAAAGAGGCATGCTTGTCTGACTCCTGTTTCGACTGTAAAGGAATCTGTGCGTCTATCTTCGTGGACCACCCTGCATGCCATTTGTTCATAAGAGCTCTGAATGATCCTGACTAGTTTCCCTGGTACTCCATAGTTTCGAAGAAGTTTCCACAAGGTTTGTCGGTCCAGGCTATCAAAGGCCTTTTCGTAGTCTATAAAATTTATATATAGGGAGGAGTTCCATTCGATAGACTGTTCTACAATGATTCTCAGTGTTGCTATTTGATCTGTGCATGATCTGTTTTGGCGGAAGCCAGCCTGTTGATCTCGTAGCTGCATGTCGACCTGGTCTTTCATTCTGTTCAAAATAATTCTGTTAAAGACCTTTCCTGGTACAGACAGCAGTGTGATTTCTCTATAATTTGTACAGTAGCTGAGATCCCCTTTCATTGGGATCTTGATGAGGTATCCTTCTTTCTAATCTTTTGGAACTCCCTCTCCTTCCCATATCTTTTCAAACAGAGGGTGCAGCATGTTGACTATTGTATCTATATCAACTCTCATCATCTCTGCTGTGATGTTGTCCGGTCCCGGGGATTTCCCTAGTTTGAGCTGCTTGATGGCCAGAGCTATTTCTTCCTTATTTGGTGCACCTTCTTCTATTTGTAGGTCTTCATTTGCTGGTTGTATGTCTGGTGCGTCTGTGGGTGGGGGTCTGTTTAATAGTTCCTTAAAGTATTCCATCCATCTTTTTTGTTGCTCTTTCCTTTCTGTTATAGATCTACCTTCTCTATCGTTAACAGGTCTCTCCGGCCTTTTGCATCTCCCTGACAGTTTTCTTGTTATGTCGTAGAGCTCTTTCAAGTTGCCCTTCCTGGCTGCTTCTTCTGCTTTCGATGCTAGGCCATCTATGAAGGCATTTTTATCTTTTTAATGCTTTTTTACCTTTTGGTTTGCTTCTTTATCTCTCTCTTGCGCTTTCGTTTACTCCGCCCTGGCGCGGCTGCTGTTAACTAGATTTTTCATTTCTTTTCTCTCTTTTTTTTTTTTTTTTTTTTTTTCTTTTTTTTTTTTGTTGTTTTTTTTTTTTTTTTTTTTTTTTTTTTTTTTTTTTTTTTTTTTTTTTTTTTGTTTTTTTTTTTTTGTTTTTTTTTTTTTTTTTTTAGATATATATCTAAGTGGGGCAAATGGATTTCAGAATGTGGATATGGAGGTGGACAAAATAAAGGCGTAGCTACCAATCCTGAAATTTATCTTGGATGTGATTGGGGGAGGAGGGGGTGTCTTGGCGGGGCATAGAATAGAAAGCATGTATACAATAAACTTTCTTTTATAGAGACAATTACAGTATTTACAGTCGTCGAAAGGGAGTACATGTTATTTTTTAAAGTTTTTCATTTAAAAATTAAATAAATCTTATATATTGTTAAAAGCTTAAAAAGTATATAACTATTTACACTCATTATTTTTTTTTAAAATAATGTAATGACCAGTCAGTTTTTAATATTAAAATTTTAATATTGAAAATATTATTGTTAAAGTCAGTTAATCTACCCCCCCCCCCCGTCAGCAATTGTCAAATATTTCCAAACCCCCTCCCTCCCCCCTATTTTGTTGACATAATTAATGAACGCCCTCTATATAGTTTTAAAAATTGACCACGTCACTGGGTTTTTTTTCAGTTGTGCAAGTTATCTTAGGCTTAAAATATTTAACAAAATTTTTAGATAAATGCATTTCTTTTTGTGTGTGTATGTGGAAAATCTAGAGGTTTGAGATGCACGGAAAACTGGAAAATTAGTTGGCAACAAGCAGCCCTAGCTATACACTGGGCTAAGCAGTGCCAGATTACGACCGGCGGAGACTTCTAATGATTATTTTTCAGAGAGAGGAACTAAGAAAATATTTGACGAGAACAAGACATCTAAACATTAAACTATAGTTATCCATTTATCACNATGCTGTCATCAAAAGATGCTGTCATCAAAAGATGCTGTCTCTAAAAAAAGAAAATCAACCCTTTCACCAGGAACGTCATTTGAGATTTTTTTTTCGGTTGCAAAACCAAAACTTGAACGGCTTATTCAGTTAATTAATACTGGATGGGCCACAGTACATATCAATAAAAATAAAACCTGAAGATTCATGATGGGGGGGGGGGAGGAGGGGGTCATACCGAAATGACGTCCCTGCCTTTAACATTGACGTTTACCGAATAGAAGAAACGTTTTAGACGTGTTGTTTCCCTAATTTTTCTTTTTCTGATCCTGATTCTAAAACCAACATGGAGATGCCCAAGATCAATGTGCATGATTGCCTCACAAAGTGGCACTGGAAATCAGTGAAATTTCCTCATCAACACCAGTAACAGAAACATTGCAAATCCCATCTACATACATAGGAGCCAAAATGATCAATAAATTGATCGTGGGCCCTTAAGAATTAGGAGAAGAAGAAGAGAAGAAGAATGTTCCCTCTAATTTTTTTGAGGTTATGTGCGCAAAAATATAGTGTGTGTGGTGCAACATTTTAAAGATGGTGGGCATTTTTGCGCGCGTGATAAAGCAAAATCTAAAAATTAAATTGGTTTAATTGTATTCAAAGTAAATGGATTTGGAAATTACGAGTTAATAAAGTTAATAATATTCGGACAGCATCGCAATTAAGTTTTTGTGATTTGCGTCAGTAAATTTTGGGGAAAAAAATAATTTAAAAAAATTAATTTGTTTTTATATCAGACAATTTTACTTTTAGGGCTAAAATTTGAGTAATGGCAAAGTATATTAGTTTTCACAATAATCTTTATTTAAAGCCTCATTTGCATTAAAATTAAATTAATTCTTATTTAGCAGTAAGAAAAAATAATCGAAGTTATCTAATTAGTGCGAACGGAGTCGGACTAGTAAAAGTACCTTTTCACTGAAATAAAACTCCACTATTTCTATTAAAAATAAGTGGATAAAATATTGTTTAATTAATTTTTTGAAATCAAATTATATAATCACAGTATTTGAGGGGTTGGGAGCTTACAAAGATCCGGTGTTCGTAAATTATTATATTATGAATGTCCTCTAACCAACGATCCGATCCGAGCGTTGCATTGCAGTAGTGTAAGAAGTACTCGATAATACTTATAACATGTAAACATGGCAGATCTGGTAGGCATGGTTAATACTACGACACCGGTGTCAAAAGCTCACATTATTATTAGTTTTAAAATATACATAAATCTTTTTAAATTTACCTTTATATGTATGGCTAAATAGGGGGTAGGGCCTAGGGCGGGTATGGTCGGTAGACTAATTTAAAGTTAATAATATCTATTCTGAAACTTACTCTTTTTTCATTTTTGTTTGTTGTGACTTTTTTTTTATAACTCATTGCAGATTGCAAATAAGTTATTGACCTATTAGGCTATTGAATTTCACTTACATAAGTTGTTTTGGCATGAATTGTGATTAACCAAGATCAATGCCCGAGATCCCTAACTGGCCTAAGCCTACTAAGCATAATTCGATGCATTGCAAAGGTAGCAACCTAACTTTATAATCTGTGTGCCGATTTGAGTAGGGCCTATCCCTCAGCTGCTAAGTCTAGTCTAAGAGGGGTCATACAATAAAAATGTGATAACTCGCATCTATAAGGGAGGAGCACAAAATGATGATGTATTATATTACATGGCATGGGACTGGGAATCTAAGGAATCTAAATTGCATAAGGTAAATTTTCGGTCACCGGTGCCGGTATAGGTTGTCACTGTTGTCTCACCCTAACTGCCCTAAGCACATTGACGTCACTTTGGGCTGGGGAATCCCAACTATGGACCTCGAGTGAATAGACCTAATAATTGTAGGACCCAATCGATGTGTGTGATAGCATTCTCATGTCATAAACAATATGGTTAATATGAAGTATATTAAAATGAAATTTTCCATTAATTAATTTGTATTAAAATTCAACTTACAATTTACTTGAAAGAAAGGAAAAAAGAAACATATCCTTGCTGATAACCCAAGACCCAACACTGGTGAAAAAAAAAGACACATGCCAAAAGTGCTGTATTTTGATTAGGTGAATTTCGAAACACCAATGTGTTAAAACTTCGGTAACAAACGGGAGATCACTGCTTAAATTGCATTTGTAATTATCTTTTAGGGAATGGGGAGGAAAGACCCCAATCCCCTCCGTCTACTTTAAATACCTAAATAAGAAACAAAGAAATCTAATGAGAACCCCTCCCCCAATTTAAAAAATATAAAATAAGAAAACAAAAACTTGCATTATGTGAATACAAACATTGAAATCTTTTTAGCATGATGCTCTAGATGGAAGTTAACCTGGGGGAACCTTCGTGACCTGTATACCGTGGAACACTTGCAGGCATTACTGCTAACCCAAAATCTACCAATGCATAACCAGGGGGCAGGGGTCAAAAACTGTCCAAATAGTGAAACATCATTTATTGATTTCCCCCCAAGACCTAATAATGAGCTGCGTCTGTCCCCCTTTTTGTGCATAGTCTCAGCTGCAGGACCTGTCATTAACCAAATCTAAATGCCAAGATCTCTATTTATTATATAAGATTGCAATCTTATAACAATAGCATGTTGTCAGCTGAAACAAGACAGTTTGAAATTAAACTCCTGACTAGTGGAAACACAGTTAGGCCTATATTATAATATATTATAGTCTAGTTTATGCACATAGGGCCCATTTTTAAAATTCAAATCAGATTGGCACCTTGATAATATGAAAGATAGACTTACTTTTTTGAATTTGCAATGGAAATCATTTTTCTAGCAGAGTTGTGAATTTTTTTGGCCTCGTCCTTAGTCCATATAAGTCATTCATTTTTTTTATTCTAATAAAATCACTCACATATTATAACATTTTTTGCAGAAGAAAAACGTTTCATTCAATACTGGCATGGCCAGAATGGGGGACCTAGGAAAACGCAAAGTTAAAGTTTTAGATGAAAGTACAGATAATAATGTATCATTTTTCCAGGTAAGAACGGGTGAGAGAAGTAAGTCTGTCAGTAAGTGAGCGACACAGAATAACATGTCATCATGTAGTCAAGTTAGCTTGTTAAAGAGTCTGCTCTTTGAATTTTTTTTTTTGGGCTTATAGCCATTAATTATCCTAGTGTGATACAGATCTTCAAACATCGGTGTCAGAGAATTGCTTGTCATCTCATTCTGTACTTGGGAAACATTTTATTTGCCTGGAGTTAAGCAAAGATAAGAGATCCGACCTGGATCATTTGAATGCCTTTTGTTTTCTTTTTATTACGTTAAATCAGTAATCATTTTTATATTTAAGAAAGCAGAACAAGTGCCTGAAGCAAGTGATGATTCAGATGAAGGGTCCAGTTTTTCTGATGATGAAGGAGAAGACAGCAGCAGTCAGGATGAAGAATATGTTGATGAGGATGATAGTGAAGATGATGATAGTGAAGATGACAGTGATAGTGATGAGGAGAAAAACGATGATCAGATTGAAGAGGTTTTAGATACTGTGACTCAAAATGATGAGTATGAGTATGATTCCTCAGATGAAGAGGTAATTTAACAATTTGCTTAAAGCAGATGAATCTAAATTTATATTTTGTCATAATCTTGAAAATAATAGCATGTTTAAAGTATTTTCTATGGCAAACTCAAAATTTTATGCAGCCATTTCTGATGATAAAACTCTTCCATTTATATGAATAATTTCTTTCACCTCCAAGATAATAAAATATTATTTTATTCTTCCATTTTGTTGATAGCCTTTTGTAGAAAAGGAATGTGATGATAAATAATTCAAGTCGTCTAATATACATTTAAAATGTAACTATCCGCTCAGGATGTGCGCAACACTATTGGCAATATTCCTGTAGAATGGTATGACGATTATGAACACATTGGCTATGATGTAGAGGGCAGAAAGCTGATCAAACCCAATCATGGAGATGCCCTGGATGAATTTCTACAAAAAGCAGATGATCCCAACTATTGGTAGATAATAACATTTTACTGCTTGCTTTTCACAATTATGTTCAAACAAGGGAAAGTAAATCTGGCTAATGTTTAAGCTAATTTTTTGAAGAAGTAATTCTCCTTTTTTATCGGTCTATTTATCTTTGGTATAAAATTCTGGTAGATTCACAAAACTGTATTTAGAAATGGAGCTGACTTTTACAATTTACAATCTTAACTTTCTTTTTTAAATGTTTTAAAATGCAAAAAAAAATTTAAGTGCAAGTTGTAAAAAATTACAGATTGAGAGAAAAACTCATCAGTTCGGGGAAACAGAAATATTGCTTATAACTTTGAACTAACTGGGCTTTAAAATATCAATACTCTCACCATTTGTCAGGCGCACAGTCAAGAACAAACTGACAGGACAAAAAGTTGTTCTCAGTGAGTCAGATGTGAGAGCGATACAAAGAATACAAGCATCAACACACCCAGATGGCTCCGAAGGATTGTACGCTGTGAGTACCCTGATAATCAAACACAGACCCTAACCCTTCCGATTTTGTAGGAATTATATGAATTTTTTACCCCTTATTCCGACAAACCCCCTAAAATTAAGATTTTCAGAACATTATAATTTTTCACCCGTCATAAAAATCTGAAAGCGGGAATAAAAAAAATATCTGGCATGACAGGAAGTGGTGACATTTGATTATGCCACTTCCTTTGTTTTTACGAAGCGTTTAATTGTCCGGGACCGGAAGAATAAGTTCTCGAAATATTTAACCAAGTCAGCCGTAACAAAGTTGCGCGAGATATTTGTCGTCACCCTTGTCACGTGACTACTAGTAATCGATCAGAGTTTACAGTATTTTATTTCAACAAATTCAAGTTAGTCTGGACATTTGCATGAAAAAGAAATATGTTCAATTCTACAAAAGAAATACTAGAAACATTGCTGGTTTGGAACAAATGGCTGGAACAAATAGTTAAAAAGTGACAATGTTAAATACAGCCGGATGAATATCTCCTGCACTATTTGTCATGTTGCCGAACTTGTAGACACTGCCTTGTTTTTATCGAAGTGAACCGTGATCTATAAATCATTCTTCAATCATCAATTGATTCTATTGCGATTCATCCTTTTACTAGGCTAAAAAATAATTCAGTTGTGTTGTGACTTTTTTTTGTTAAAGCTTTTCTTAATTAAATGGATAAATCTATTGAAAGTGGTTTGTACAACGATATTTAGAAACATATTTTAACACCAAAAAAAACCAACACTCAACTACAGCTAAGCAGGTGAATCTACGACATCCATGTCTAATTTCTTCGCTAAGGAATCAGACGATTCAGTTATCAGATCGAAAGTTTTATTTACCCCCTTTCTTATTGAAAAAAATACTTCTCTTCCCAACTCCAATCATTTATGCTAGGGTCAAAGAAATGTTTCCAGTCTCAGATTGTTAGAAGATTGTGAAGAAAAATTACAATGAAACAAGGGCAAGCATGAAAGTTGATACTCTTTCTAACTTGCTTGTAACTTAAATTAATTGCAATGCTAACCTTCAGTTGTCCAAAGAGCTGTTGGACAAGTGCAAAAAGGCCACTAGGGATATGCTGGCAAACTGAACTCTTAGCAGCCTGTCTACATATTTAAATAAAATGGATATTCTGTATAAATCTGTGCTGTATATAAAATACAAAAAATTTCAGTAATGTTTTTCTTATGTTCTGTGTGTTATGTGGACTCTTGAAAGACAATGGGATTAACTTTATATTTCTTTTCTTTATTTACTCAAAAAAAGTGTGCATTATTATGTAGATCTTTAACCAATGCCGCTGCCCCCCACCTCCCTACAGTTTTTTTTTGTTGGCAGGTCTGCAAACATGATAGAGCTGATTATTTGTTAAGTCCGGGTGAATTTTTCAGTGGAATTTTTTAACAGCAAATTTTTACATCTTCAGCCTTGGGTTGACTTTTTCTCCAATGAAGTTATGAATATGCCAGTGACAGGGCGTCCTCCTGATAAACGTAGCTTCATACCTTCCAAATGGGAGAGGCAGAGGGTAAGTGAAATTATTTAAACTTATAGTACAGGTATTAGATTTTCAAATGGTGATTTGTCTTTTTTTTTTTTTATATGCTCATATCACACTGAGATGTTAAAGTTATATGTAAAAGTCTTAATTTGAATATCATATACTCAATTAAGTTTTGACTTGATTTGAACCAAGGTGGTTTGATATGGCAGAGGGTAAGTGAAATTATTTAAACTTATAGTACAGGTATTAGATTTTCAAATGGTGATTTGTCTTTTTTTTTTTTTTTATATGCTCATATCACACTGAGATGTTAAAGTTATATGTAAAAGTCTTAATTTGAATATCATATACTCAATTAAGTTTTGACTTGATTTGAACCAAGGTGGTTTGATAATGACATAGAGAAGAGATAGCTCTGTCATAATCTAGAAATCCATAAGTTAGCAGCAAGTGGATCTGAATCACATTGTATTTATATCAGTAAATTTCCTATATTTCTTAAAGGTTGGCCAAATGGTGCATGCACTGAAAATGGGCTGGATGAAGCCAAGAGGTGAGATTAGAAAACTGAAGCTGACACAAGATCCCAATGCCCCATCACTTGATTTGTGGAAAGAGGATAATGAGGTATGTCTTTTAATCAACAGTTACAGAGTTTAATCATCAGTACAATTTTTATTAATCTATGAAAAAATTCTACAAGTGGTCAATGAAATATTTTAGTGTCATAAGTTAAGATTTGTACCACCCTATATAAGACCACTTTAATAATAATAATAATAATATTTTTAACACATAATGTTATTAATTTTTATGTGGAATCTTTTTATCATAAAATGTTCTTAATGGCTTCTAAAATTTTAATAAAGATCTTTTCTTAAAAATTTGTCATAAAAATCAAAGCCAGATATTACAAAACGATACAGAATGCACATCCCTGCACCTAAGGAGCCACTGCCTGGCCATGCAGAATCATACAATCCACCTGAGGAGTATCTTTTTGATGAACAAGAAGTAAGTATATTAATGTAATGAAACTTTGTTCTTGTTCACGTTTTTAAATGTTAATTGATGGTTTTGGTGTTTGAGCTGGAGTCAGGGCTATACAAATTTCTAAATCTCTAAATAAGCCATTGGAAAGATGTAAGATTTTGTTTATTCATTAGTTAAATTAGAAAAGAAAACAGCCTTGGTGTTATTTGCTTGAATCAATTATGTTTTCCCTCAACCGTGCAGCCGTTGTTAAATTCTTAATAATTAACATCAAGCAAATACCTTTTTTACTTAGCCTTCATTATCTGTCTACAGTAAGGTTGCATTTCACAAGTTCATTAACCGCTTAAAGCACTTATCTTCATGAGCACAAAATACTGAAAATGAAGACATTCATTGTTTTTAAATTTGTTTGTGTTAAGAAAGCCACTTAACATGATAGCCAAGTTCCTGTAGAAAAATTATTTTTTTTAGCAGTCTTGATCTCATTTCGACAATAACATTTGGGGGAGGGGGGGGGGGGCAATTTAGACTAAATAACATGAAAGGAGGTCCATTTAAATAACTACATGAAATGGGGGCTAATTTAGACAATTTCCTCATTGCATATATCAAATTTTTCAATGAAGTTTTAAATTTTAATTTTGATTTTTTTTTTTAGGGGTTTTTCTTGACTTTTGAAGAGAGGGGGGGGGGGGGGGGGGGGGGGGCAATTTAGACTAAATAACATGAAAGGAGGTCCATTTAAATAACTACATGAAATGGGGGCTAATTTAGACAATTTCCTCATTGCATATATCAAATTTTTCAATGAAGTTTTAAAGTTTAATTTTGAATAATAATAATATGATGATAAATGTTCTCAGAGTATTAGCATGAAATTCACACACTTTAAAATTATGTTTGATACCTGTAGTAAAATTGTGTTGTTGTTTTTTTTAAACAGGAAGCCAAATGGGAAGCTCAAGAACCAGAAGAGAGACGCATCAACTTTAAACCGCAAAAATTTTCTGCCTACAGATCTGTCCCTAAGTATAGCCAGTTTGTCAATGAAAGATTTTCTAGGTTGTTGGACTTGTACATGGCTGCCAGGCAGAGGAAAATGAAGGTTATTTTATAGCTTTAAAATATTCTACTTATATTCATTAATTACGATATACATAAATTACTATTAATCTTTTTAAAAAATATGCATTTTTCCTTGCTTAAACTCTGTTTTACATTTTAATAAAGTGTTTGCTATGTTAAATTTAATGTTTTGCTGTTGCTTTAGATGAATGTTAACCCAGAGGATTTAATCCCCAAGAGACCTGATAAGAAGGACCTACAGCCTTATCCTACCAGAGAAGGAATGGTATGTTTTTGTTACACATGCATAATCTTAATATTACGAAAGATTCATTGATACTGATAACATCTTGGTTAGAATGTGATAGAATATTTCAATATGTAAAAGAGTTGTCATTGCCTGAACCTTCCAGTAGTTCCAACATAGTTTGTTGCCAGTAAAGAAATTGGGGTGTGTACAGAAATATTATTTAAAGTCAAATTAATTTACTAACATATATTCACACTGGTAAATCTGTTTTCTGTAATCCTGATCAATGAAAACTCTTATTTTAATCGAAAATCTTTTAAAACATACATTTTGTAAGTTCAAAACAAATGTCTGACATGAAAGTAGAATATTATATATGAATGAGAGCTGTAACACTGCAAAGTATTTTTAGCCTATGCAAATTTTAACAATCCTCAATCATAGATCTACAAGGGACATACTGATATGGTTAGAAGTATCTCACCAGATCCGTCTGGACAGTGGTTAGCTTCTGGTTAGTAACACAGTACATTAATGTTTTTAATCTTTGTGTAATCGAACGTTTGTTTAAGAATTAATGTTGCTGTTTGATGGAGTCTATTGTAAGAGAGCATCAATATGTGCAATGCTGGTCAATAAGATATAATTGTTTTACATGTGATGGTGATTATCTAAAAAAATTCTGAGAACAAAATAAGTTAATTTTTTTATGACCATTTTCAAGGCTCTGATGACGGCACTGTAAAATTGTGGGAAGTTGGTACTGGTCGATGTATGACTACATTGAAGTTTGCTGGAAAAGTTACTTATGTGTCCTGGAACCCTAACCCAGCTATCAACCTGCTGGCAGCTGTTGTGTGAGTTCACAAATAAAACAGTTGTAATCTTCTTAAATTTAGTGGTACTATTTTTGTAGAGGTTATTTATAGATACTATTAATGTACCATAAAATATTCTTTTAAAACAATGCTCATTTTCTTTAAATTTTTTAACTTCAAACTATTTATTGACTTAATTTTCCATGTTTTGGCCAGCATATTTTGAGCACATATTCACTATTGCTAAATGTATTGACAACAGCTTAGGCGTATTTGTTTTCCCTTCCAAAGCAAAATGACCTTTATTGGTTTTTTTCTCTAGGTGACTTGTTTGAGAGTAAAAATCTATATTTTCTGTCCCCAGTGGTCCCACTGTTATTCTTCTCAACCCTGGGTTGGTAGACAAACTGGTATGTTCAAATACAGACAGCACACTTGACAAGTATGAAGATGATGGTGACACAGCAGGTTTGCATTAAGTTTTCTCTCATAAATTAATTAAATATCACAATCCGTTGGCTAACAATCTTATCTCATATATTTACCAAGTCAGATAGCCAGACACACTATATGTAGAAATTAGAATGAAAGTTTTGCTATATGCATGAGCAAGGGAGCCTACTACCCAAATAGTTTGTTATTATTTTATAGAATTTTTTTTAATAGGTGCTTAATTCTTTTCTTTATGATGATAATTATGGGTGATTATGACTTTTTTTTTTTTTTTTTTGCTGGAATCCGTCCGTCACAATGTGAGGATGGAGTGGGCTTTGGAGGACGAAATCCACATGGCCTGGGATTATTCTTCAAGGATTATGACATTTAAGAATTAACTAAATGAAATCATTTGAAATTATTGTTAGCAACACATAAAGCAAGCATAAATGAATGCAATTCACTATAATTCATGTACTTACGTCACAAAATTAAACAACCCCTAAAAACAAAGTTTTCGTATAAGTATAAATCCTTATATTATGTGCATTTATTATTATTTTATTTTATATTAATATTCAAATGACCCACCCACTTTTACACCGCAGATTTATTTCACCACTTCAGACAAGAAAAAGAAAATATCACTCACCAAACACTTGTGATATTTTTTTAAAAAGAATCTCATTCAGCTAAGCTATCTGGAATTTTATTTTGTGAAATCAGTGGCATCATATTTCCTTCATAATCCTGTTGAAAAGGGTGATTTTTGGAGTTTGGGCTTGGAGGTGGGGCTGAAAATTTGATAGAATGTGTTGTCATCTGCAACAAGTCTATGCATCAAGTTTCAGTTTGATAGGTTTATTTGAAGTGTTTCAATTGGTCAAACAAAGATTTTGCCAGCCAGAAAGAAAGACATGAACAAAAGCGAAGTTAATATAAAGGATTTAAAGGTGCATTGTTTTACTGGTAAATAAAATTATTAGTTTTTTAAAACTTACATTTTATTCCACAGGTAAAAAGAGTTTTGTGGAATGGTCAACATTCGATGTTCTAGACCAGGAAAAAGGTTTAAGAATTCAAGTGGTCCATGCCAAGGTTGGTGTAACTTAATGTTATAAAATAGAAAGTATTAAATTAGATACAGGTAATTACAATATACAATTCTTAGAAAATAAGCACCTACTGCTGTTTTTTGTTGACTTTAATATGATGACATTTATATGGGGGGGCTCACACAAAATGAAATTGAAGTTATAAGTTAATGTTGTGGAGATTTTTTATTGCATGTAGTTATCAATCAGCATTTTTATAGATTTTTTTTTTTTACTATAAATTTTTTTAGAGAATCATGAATTCTAAATACTTTTTTAGTCTTCAGTGCTCTGAAAATGTTCTCACTAAAGGCTCATTCAATTTTTTTTTCTTGAATTTATCCTGCAACATTTTATTTATTTCAAGGATGTGGTTCAGTTTACTTGGCATACGAAGGGAGATTATTTTGCCACTGTCCAACAAGATGGAAGTAAGAGTCAGGCAGTTCTCATTCATCAACTGTCTAGGCGGCAAACACAGGTATTGAATTTAAACAATTTTTAAATTTAAATATGATCCATATGAGTACTGTACTGTAGGTTTTGTAAATTTAAAACATGTTTTGAACTATGCATAATATGTTTTATTAGATCCGTTTCTTTTTAAATATTTACATTATGCCCAAATAAGGTACCCCACTCAAGATATGCTAGATATGTACTATGTAAAATCAGTCAATCATCATTTGGTTCACTCACTTAGTTTAAGGCAACTATTTATAATGTTAGTCTGTACTAACAGCAAATGTAAAAATTTATATTTTTCAAATACAGTTTAACAATCTAAAGAAACAAATTTACTGTAACGGTACCGGTAACATAATGGCTTTGCTTTTTTTAAAACTAAAAAATCATAATCATAGTGGAATTCATAACTTTGTCATGAATCCTAAAACATGTGACTGGTAAAATTATGTTTCAACTTTTATCATTTTAGACAAGAATTCCATAAATAAACTGTACATAGGTATTTCTTTGTCAAATTAGCTAAAGGAAATCTTCTGCTTCCTGATAAAATAAAATTGGATACCGGTATCCATATGAAATACTTCTCTGCAACAAACGTGTTGTAACTTTTTGATCATAAAAATGTAATATTTAAAAAATTCTATTTCCCATGTTTTCAGGCTCCTTTTTCAAAACCCAAGGGTCTTGTGCAACGTGTCATCTTTCATCCAGTCCATCCATATTTCTTTGTGGCTGTAAGTTCATAATAGAATTTTTTTTAAATCTTTAAAAGAATATACTTTGGCTGTGTTTTTCACTATTTCTGGTAATTTAATAATTAATTAATGTATGTTGATAGTGAAATTCCCTCATCCTTTATAAAAAAACATTTTAATCCACTTTTTACAATAAATTCATTACATATTTTAAAAATATTTTCAGACACAACAGCATATTCGCATTTATAATCTGGTAAAACAAGAGCTTCACAAAAAACTACAGGCAAACTGCAAGTACATCTCTTCTATAGACATCCACCCAGGAGGTTTGTGTAGCTGGATATTTTAGACTGTTGGATGTTAAAGTAAACCATCTTGTAAATTTTGAGACCATAGGTTCTAAGATTTAAAGATTAATAATTGTGTTTAAATTTGTTTGTTTAAAATCATGCATTTATTTTTCAAGATTTAAAAAAAGTGATGCTAAGACTAAGAAGGATATTTTAAATTTAGCTCAGCTTGATCCAATCTATTCATTTAAAAATTGAAGAGTTATGAATACCAGGTACTTGTTTGAGCTGATAAGGAACATATTTTAACACTATAATTGTTATAACAGCTGATCATTCTAAATCAATGAGTTTGCTTCATATTTCAATTTCTATCTTTGTGTTAACATGCCTTTACCAGAGCTTGTTTTGTGTATAATCGGGTGTGAAATTTGCTCAATTTTTTTTACTTCCATTGTGTCTGATGCTGAAGAGGGCACCAATGCCCCTCTAGACTGCACAATCAAAACAGACTGCCTTTATTGGAATTATTTAAATTTGATTAAAATGAAAACAATTATGTCAGAGATATTCCTTGTGCTAGTAATGACAGTATAACTCTCACAGTGATAGCTACATAAGATATTGATAATTTTTGTCCTAAGCTTAGTCATATTTTTACAGAAAATTGTGTTTGGGAAAAGATGGAAATTGAACAAAAAAGACAAAAATTGGATTCCAAATACATATCCTATAGTGATTCAAAGACATTTATGTTTTTGTATGTTACTAAATGTTATGGAGAATTAATTACTTCCATTGAAAAGGAATTTATGAGCTCATTGCTTGCTTGCCCCCTTGTATTTTGTAGGACAGAAATTTGATGGCAGTGAAAGAAATTCACCAAAATTACACTTTTATATTAGTATAAGTACCAATAACTTGACATTTTCTGAAAGAATAATGCTTCTAGTGTTTCGAAATCTTGATTTTATGATAGTTTGGTCACTTTATGGAATATTATATTTGGTTGAATGCAAAAGTTGAGTAGTAAAATTTTACTCACGCTGTAAAGGTCAAGATCATCATATATTATATAAGAACAAATTCTTTTCATACCACAAGATACTTTGCCCAATGTACTTTCAGAAAATGTAAAAATGTGAGGGTCTCTAAATTCACTTAGTATGGAATTTTTTCAGGCATATGAAAGTGCTAAAAATAGCTTGATACTAAAGAAAATTGCACTTAAAATTTATAGGGTTAAATTAACATAACTTAAGAAAACAAGTACTGGGTAACTCTTAAATAGCTATGGTTTCTTTTTGTAGTAAACTTTTTGAAGTGACAGTTAACTTGTGTTTAACCAGTTCTTGAGAATAGAGTTGAATAACCTTTTATTTTTTGTTACTAATATGTATTCTGGGGATGAAATGCATTGTACCCATTAATTTTCAGGAGATAATATTATCATTGGAAGTTATGACAGCAGACTATGCTGGTTTGACCTTGACCTCTCGACCAAACCTTACCAAACACTCAAGTGAGTCTTAAAAGATTTCTATATAGTTGTTAAAACCTCTTTCTGTTATGGCACCCACACTAAATACAGGGGGTAATTTGAATATGGGGGGGGGGGGATAATATCTGATACAGGAAAAAGAGGCCGGGGATGTTAGAAAGGACACTTTTTTTTAAATTAACCATAGATTACATTTGTTTTATCACACAAAGTTGAATCTTGAAGTCTAAACAGGAGGGAAATTGAAATTCAACCTTCCTAAGCATATGGAGGCTTTTATGGTAATGGGGGAGTGACATTAAACCTTTAGTTGCTCATGTGGGCAATTGGTAAAAAATTTTGAGAAACGCTACAATAGGGAATATTTTTTAATAGTTTGTGTTGCTGTACAAGAACAATGGAAGTGAAGTATGGTACCACAATAGGTAGCTTTGTTTGCCTATAGGTTTATAAGACAAACTCATCATTCATATTTTATTTGCACCACATTACCATTTAAAGACTGTGCTTCTTTATGAATTTCCTTAGTAGTCATGTGATTGCCACAACTTTGATGCTGATTTGATTAGTCACAATACTGTGCTGAAACTACTAAGCCTGGAATATAAGTAACACTAATAATAACAATAATCATAGCAAAATATAAATCTAAGAAAGAAAAATATGCTAAATCCTAATCAACGACAAAGGATATTTTAAGCTCCATGAATTTTGTATTTGATCATCCTTAGATACCACAAAAAGGCTTTGAGGCAGGTTGCTTTCCATAAACACTATCCCTTGTTTGCCTCGGCATCTGATGATGGCTCTGTCATAGTTAGCCATGGGAAGGTTTACAGGTGAGTGATTTATTTAGCTCCTATTTTCGTAATCCATCTCAATATTTTTTCAAAGTATATGCCAAAACGTGCCAAAGTGTACTTGTTTTTATTGCCATTTTAATGTTTTAGCTACTGTTTTTATAGTCATATTTCACATTGTATGTACTATTTTAGTGTCTCTGGTTTTTCATTTTTCTTTTACTTTAGCAGATTAAATAGTTTACATATTTTTAATAATTGTAAAGGGCTTAGAGCTGTAAGGCAAGCGATATACAAAAATGCCTAAATAATAATAATAATATTTAATTTTGTTTAAACTGTGCAGTTTTATGCAATATGGTTCACCCTTTTAGTTTCATGCATCCAATGCAGAGGTCAGGTGGCTGAAAATGTTGGTTGTTTTTTGTTTCAAATTTTGAATGGCCACTTTAAAAGGGTTAAAAGAAACAAATTTCTATTCTTTTGTCAAATAATTTTTATACATTTCCCATTCTAAATTAAGTGTGTATGTTAGTTATCAATCAAATAATATCCACACAAATGGTAATCTGATGCTTATGTCGACATCCATCCAAAATACAAGCAAAATTTTTTTTCTTCTAAAAAAATCTGGTGAAAAATTACAGCTGTACGTTTAACTTTTGTCTTTATTTAATTTTTGAAGTGATCAACTCCTGAACCCACTGATTGTGACAGTTAAAGTCCTGAGAGGGCACAAGACCACAAACCACATTTCTGTCTTGGACTGCAAGTTTCACCCCACTCAGCCTTGGATATTTTCTAGTGGTGCTGATAGCACAATCAGGCTTTATGTGTGATTATAAATATTTTTCATGAAGCGCTACATTTACAACCCAACCGGATGCGGAAGGGTTCTTGATTTGAAATTAAGGGACATGTTGACATTGATACATTTATATTGAGAAGACCTGCATGCTGCTAGCAAAGTTTGTCTACCAGAGCCAAGACAAAGCCAGATGATGTTATAACATATGTTACAAATGTGGTTTAAAAAAAATAAAAATGATAATACTATTAATACTTTTGGCATCTTTATTTCAATTTATTCTCCAGAAACATTTTTTTTAAAATTATTAATCTAAAGTAAATCATCTCCAAACAGCACCCAACTAATTTTGAAAAAGTAAAATGGTTCTGTATTATAAGGGATAATTGCTGTAAAAAAAAAAGGAACACATTTCCAAAAATGATCAGGAAAGTAATTATCTGAAAGAGAAACAAGGCCCATGCTAAAATAACCACATGCGCATCTTTACATCATCATTTTGATGATGCCATTTTGTTTTCTCTCCAAAACATTTATCAATTAAAGACCTGCCAGGTTTTGATGGATTAAGGCTAATCTGCTTAACTTTAACAAACTTCAACTCTTTGGAATTCACAAACCAGAGAAGCAACCGAAATGCATTTAATTTAAAAGAAAAAATATAAAGTAGACTATAAGTTCTACAAGGTTGGTGAAATTAGTAAAGAAAATCTGTAGTGTCTATGTGTGATTATAAATATTTTTCATGAAGCGCTACATTTACAACCCAACCGGATGCGGAAGGATTCTTGATTTGAAATTAAGGGGTGTGGTATCTAAGGATGATCAAATACAAAATTCATGGAGCTTAAAATATCCTTTGTCGTTGATTAGGATTTAGCATATTTTTCTTGTTTTCTTTCTTAGATTTATATTTTGCTATGATTATTGTTATTATTAGTGTTACTTATATTCCAGGCTTAGTAGTTTCAGCACAGTATTGTGACTAATCAAATCAGCATCAAAGTTGTGGCAATCACATGACTACTAAGGAAATTCATAAAGAAGCACAGTCTTTAAATGGTAATGTGGTGCAAATAAAATATGAATGATGAGTTTGTCTTATAAACCTATAGGCAAACAAAGCTACCTATTGTGGTACCATACTTCACTTCCATTGTTCTTGTACAGCAACACAAACTATTAAAAAATATTCCCTATTGTAGCGTTTCTCAAAATTTTACAACAATGTAACAGTACAGTGCTCAACAGACATGTAATGTAAGTGGAAAGACCACTTTGTTTAAATCTTTCTCATGATACTTAGTGAGAAATAGAAGCTTTGTAATCATCATAAACAAATGCCTAAAAATTGTAAATATCCTTCAGAAACAAAATCAAATGTAAATGTATTAATTATTTTAATATCTCTTTCAGAAACAAAATAAAACCATCTTTAGCTAAAAATACGGCTCATGACAAATGTTCTTGATACTTCTGCATCATCAGTTCCAAATGTATTCTTTTGTCTCTTTTTTTGGACTTCTCCAGTTTCGGGGATTTCTGACTTTCTTTTCTGCGACTTTTTCTGAGCTAGAATTTCTTCATCTGTCAATTTTTGTCGCACACCTTCTCCAAAAGTTCTTTTCTCAAAATCCTCACCCCTTTTCTCCTTTCTTTTCTTTATCTCACTTAAAGTCTTAGATTTTTCAAAACTGTTCATATAAAAATTTGTTTGTTTCTTAACTTGAGAAATATCCGCCCTGATTCGACTCTCATAGGTTGCACGTTTCAGCTCTCTATCTGCGTTAACATCTGTCCATGTGAATCGAGGTAGATATTTGATATTCCATATGCAGTTGTACCATGGATTTCTCTTCTTGCCACCCACTTGTGTGTTATTCAATGCCAAGGCAACATATTTTGCAACACTCCTGTTGGAGAACTCTACCCAACCTTCAGAAAACAGCAGACCTTTCTTGTATGAATAGCTTTTCTCTGTGAAGAACAAATAAACAAAATTGTCTTTAAAAAGAAGAAATATATGGTACAAAAGGAAAATTGTATACAATCCAGTAAATTTCAAAACATGCTGTAAGTTACTGTTAGTAATTTTTTTGCCACGGTTAAGATCGCCTTATTATATCTTTCACAGCTAAGACACAATGCACTTTACATAAATTAACCACATTTCAAGCTTCTAATTTAACATTAAAACATTCGCAATTGTAAAAGGAATACCTTAATCTAATCATGAGATGATGAACTATGTACATAGGTGAAAAACTATTATACAGTACAATGTATTTTCGCTGTATTTTGTAGCTAACGTTTTTATAGAATATAAAAGATGCTAAATGTTTTTGGATTCACTAGACTATCATACACCCTGTTTAACATCACGCTAGAAAAAGTTATAAGAAGCATACACGTGAGCATTATTGGAACTATAACAAGCTACTTCCAGAGATGTATTACAGAACAACCATCAGGAACTTAATATATAGCCAGCCATTGCAGTACCTGGCATACGCAGATGATATGGTGCAACTGAAACAGAAATGATATAATGAAAGCATTCAGGGAACTTGAAAATGCCTCAGCCAGAGCTGGTAATGATGTAAATGAAGCGAAGACAAAATGTATGATAATGTCAGGAAACACCCACATTGATGACAACATCAATATAAACAACCACAAATTTGAGAAAGTGGCTACATTAAAATATCTAGGGGTGACTATAAAAGAGCACAATTGAATAATGTCGGAGGTGAAAAAAAGAATAACAGTAGGCAACTGTTCCTATTTCAGCCTACAAAAGCTGCTGGGAAGCAAAAACCTCTCAGGGGGAACACAGATGACAATATACACTACTATCATAAGACAGGTAGTAACTTGCGCTAGTGAGATTTGGTCCCTTACCAGAAAAGTAGAGAACCTGCTCAATACATGAGAGAGGAAAATCCTCAAGAAAGTATATGACCCAGTGATAGAAAATGATGTAAGGAGAATCCGTAAAAACCAAGAGCTATACCAATTGTACAAAGACACACCCACAGTCGCAACAATAAAAAAAAAAGGCAGACTGCACTGGGCAGGACATATTGAAAGGATGCTGGATTGTAGAGCATCAAAAGTGAAATACGGGCAGAAGCCTAGGGGCAGAAGGTTCACCGGTCATCCAAGACTGAGATGGATAGGCGATGTAGAGGAGGATTTACACCAGTTGTCGGTTCGAGCATGGAGGCAGAAAGCCATGGATTGTTTCGAATAGAAGGATGTGGTGGAGCAAGCCAGGGCCCAACATGGGCTGTAGCAATGCTGACGATGATAAATGTTTTTGGAAGTATGAAACATTAAAGGAAAACTAACAGAAAAATGAAAATGTTGCAAAGAAGACAACCCTGGATTATCAAAAATAGTTGTTTTGTTTTGCTTCATTTCAGGTTTTCACCTATCCTGTGTTTCATATTTCCTATTACTCAGCCTCATTAAAGTCTTCCTCTTAATATATATACATATATAATTAAATCTACAATAAAATGGTGAAAAATTTAAGAGATATAAAACAATTACCAGTAAAAAATGATATGAGTAAAGAATATCATAAATATTAGCCTGCGACTATTCGCACACAGGTACCAGAAGTGAGAGGTTGGGATTAAAAAACTATATAAAACATTATTTTTGGGTTTATAAGTATAAGACAAAATGAGGTATCAAATGAAAGATAAATGAATGGACTAAATGAAAATGACATCCGAATAGCATTGGTCTAATGGGACCCGGGTGCGAATGGCAGCGCTGTGCATCCGGGGCAATTTAGTCCATTCAACAACTCCCCTTCAGTGAGTTCATACTACTATTATTAATGATTAATGGATTGCTGTGGACTGACTAAAATTGTTACTAATAATTTTCAATGCTAATAATTATTACTGTTGCTGTGTCTAACATGTTCATTATGAAAAGATAAAGCAACAACATGACCATCACCACTAGCACTATCATTACCAAAATGTGGCAGCATTAATTTAAGAGACTTAAATAAACAAAATCTCTTAAATCAACATCACTCCATTCCCGTCTCAGGGCAAATAAAAAAACAAAACAATGTAATTTATACAATTTATAGATTGTCCCTATCCGCCTATCCAATCGTATTTCTCGATCCATTCACTGCTGGACGTAGAATGCAAGTTAAAATTAACAACAGAAAATGTACTTTTATATTAATTTTAAAAAAATCAAAATACAGGAATGTAGCCTATTTTTTTCAAACTCAGTGTCAAAGTCTCTTAAAATTCTTAGTTCTGACAGTTATTGACGTACAATAGACGTCCTAAAGTTGTACATTGAAACATTGTTACCATTGTATGCTAAAATCGTAAGAGTATAATAACTAAGCTCAGTTATTAACCGTGTCAAGTGTGACATGACAAGTATGGTCAATGGTATGATTTTTATGAATAACTTACCCACTGGCTGAAAAAAGGTGCGATTTACTTCTCCGAACTCGCCAAAAACATTTCTCAATTTTTGAACGCTCATAAATTCAGGGACTGTGCTCAAATATATTATTCCAGGCTTTTCTTTTTTACGCAGTTTATTCGCCTTAATATTACTTATTGAACTACCCAATGCATCACTATCACTGATTTCAGGCTCAGCAGCAGCATCATGTTTATCACCGACATCCATTTCTCTACTTTCCTAAAACGATTCTAACTTCAATGTAAGAAAGTTACTTTCATTATGGGCATATTGCCAGGTGTAAATATTGTTAATTTGAGAATGTAATTTCATTTGAGAAAATAGTTTATTTGAACGAAACGAAATGATTTATATCTATTAGAAATCACATAAGAATGTTAAAATAAACTATTAACATTTACTTAAAGGTAATTTCTTTCTTTTGAAACTAAAATAATAAAATAGTTATGTTTTTCTTTAACTTAAAAATACTACTGGCTTTGATTTTCAATTAAGTATACGTAGGACGCTGCATTTCAGATAATAATATTACTAATTGAACATTTTACAATATAAGTTGATGTTATTATTAACAGTCACAAACATTTTTTTTGTTCCCTCGAACAGTTAAGTCTATGGATGTTGACTTTCCAATTAAATGCAATGGATTGAAAATCTGGCACCTAAATAAGAGTCCAACCAAGACGGATGTGAAATGGAGGACGGAGCAAAATATAGCCTAAACTTTAACTCTGAAATAAACATCCCAAATAATTGAATACCAGAGATTGAAAAAAGTATCATGATATAGGAACTGTTTTATTTTTCAAAGCTTCTGTTTCAAACATCCAATGGGCAAGTAGTTAATTTGACTAAGAAACGTTTTATACATCTTTTATTTTTAGTTTGTCAGTGCTCATTAGGCCAAACTAAAAGTAAAAGTAAAAACTCAAGTATTTACCGACTATAAAATTAAGTAAATTTAGCCATCTCATCTTCAGACATCCGGCCCAATTCTATGTCTAATTATAAATTATAGGCCTATGGATTGTCAAAATATAATCAGGCCTAAGTCTCAAGAATAATAATATAACCAGAGCCCTCTGTCTTGATTGGGGGGGGGGGGGGGGCGCCCCCCAGCAATTAAAGTTGATATAATTAACCTTTACTTTATAGTTTAAATATTTTCCCACTTCACCACCTGGGCTTATTAAGTATCCAAGGCTCCCTGTAATTCCAGGAGTTGCAGTGCCCACACAACAGCTCTTTTACTGTAAATTTAAATTTAAGTCTGCAGTTTATATTATAATAAATGACTGGATAGGGTAAGTTGAGCCCTGTACTATAAGTAATTGCGGCTTCTCAGAGCTCAATTTGATATTGTGGCAATGTGCATGCACACAACGGTCAACACTTCCTGTTTTTCCACCCTCGTGCCAACAACACACAGTTTTCTTCTGATGATAATGAAATCTATCGGCATCAGAATATCGGATATCTTTGCTGTTCTAGCATATTCAAAATCTGAATAAACATCAACATAAAGTCGCTATGCTCAATTTTGAACCTGACACTAAGTTTTGTTGATGGCACTAAAATTATTATGATCTTTCTGCAACAGCAATGAATCAGTGAATAAGGAACTTTCATTGGTTGTTATTTTTACCAAATGCCATTGAGTTATCAGGATATTCACTTGACCTCTGCATTCTGTTATTGTAATGAAAACAATAAGGATTTCTGATAAAAAAAAATTAGAAATTGTCCACATGTTTTTTGAAGCAAAACTAAGCTGGAACTCTCTGCATTTTCATTTGTGTTATTTTTCTTGCTTGCTTTATTATACTTGTATTATTATACTTGTATTTTATCAAATGGCTTTAATAAACCGAATTTCAAGTTATAAAAGGAAGTGTCTATAAATACTGGAAAACTTACAACAATTAACAATGCCTTACACTGTAAAAAAAAATCAATTGCTTTAATTAATATAATTAGTTCTTAAAGATTGTGTCATATCTTGTTTAGATGACTAATAATTAGTAATATGATTAAAATTCTTTTCTTTCTAGGGTCCAACAGAATTCCAAGCCTGTTGTTGACATTTATATCTATTCTGTCAGTTAATGCAGCTTTTTCATGTAAGATTTAACCATAAGACTTAATAGATATTTTTTAATATATCACAACATATTAAAATTTAGAATTTTGTGAAAATTCTTCTTAAATTATTTGATATATATGCCTTAATCTTTTGTTCATTCAAAAAAACTAATTTCTTATCATTTATTTTATATTGCTTGTCTACAGGTGAATCTCACATTGTTAGGTCTCAAAAAGGTGTACTTTCTAGCCCCTCTTTTCCAAATACCTATCCATATGATTACTGTATTCAATGGATCATAAAAGTTGGAAAAGGCTGGAAAATAACAATTAGGTAAGATTGCTCAGCTGTGTGTCAAAAGCTCAAAGTTTTTTTCAATTGAAATATTAAGAAATAACAAACGCTGAATATTACTTACATGTTTTTTTTTGCCACCAAAGAAACTATTTCACTTTCTTTTCAATATTTCTAAATTATGAAAATGAGATAGATAAAAAATTATATATTTTAATAGAACTATGACAAAATGAATTAAAATTAACAATTTTCACTAATGATATTTTAATCAATTTTGGAACTTTTATAACAGCCTATAATGTCATCAAACCAGTCTCTTCTTGATTTTTTTGCAATTTTTGTTAGAACTTGTATAAACAATTTTATAACTGAAGTAAATTAATTCATCTTTTATTTTAAAAATATTATTGTTTGTTAAATGTTAATGTAATCTTAATTAACTGATGAAATGCCTTATTTTACCCCCTCAGGTTTTTACATTTAGACATTCCAGCAACCAATGATTTTTGCTATGATAGCCTCTACATAGGCTTTATTAATAAACAAAGCTACTGTGGAAGTACTGATCATGAAGAGTTTCCTCAATTTGAAGCTATATCGGACCATATTAGTAATTTCAATATTACCTTTAATAGCACATCTAAAGGTCCAAAAGGTGCTGGATTTAACATCTCATATGAAATAGGTGAGAAGCGTTTTCTCTTACTTAGTTACTTACTTGTGCCTTTTCCCCCTGTCTGGGGAATGGGCTGTATACAAGAATTTTACATTCATCTCGGTCCTGTGCTTTCCTTTTCAGTTGCTTCCAGGTGAATCCCATATTTTGTGTGTCTGCCTTTACCTCATGCCTCAATGTATTCTTTCTTTCTTTTTCCCTGTGAATTCTATATTAACGATTGTCTGGTGATGTTATCTGGGGGTTTTCGGAGAGTGTGCCCTATCCACCTCCATCTTTTCCTTATGATGTCTTCAGCAATTGGCTCCTGGTATGTCCTTTCCAATAAACCTTTGTTGGTCATGGTGTTTGGCCATTTGATGTTCAGGATATATGTAAGGCAAGTTTTTATGAAGGTCTTTACGTTCTGTGTGATGCTTGATCGGCTCCATAAGAGTATGACTGTTTTGACATTTTTGTTGAAAATTCTGACTTTGATTTGCAGAGTCAGCTCCTTTGACTCCCATATTTTCTTTGTTAGCACAAATGCTGATCTAGCCTTTCCAATTCCTAGCCCTGACATCATCTTTAGATCCACCATTTTATGTCAATGGTGCTGCCTAAGTATGTGAAGGCCTCCACTTCTTCCAGTGCATTTCCTGCCAGAGAGATATACTCTTGATTGGCTGAGTTTACCTTCATGATCTTTGTCTTGCTTTTATTTATATTGACTCCAGCTGCGCTGAAATGGTGGCTACATCTATAGTCTTTTCCTGAATTTGTTGCTGGTTGTGGGACAGAAGTTAGTGTATCCTGTATCCTCTTTTTGTCTTTGGATTTTTGATTGTCCAGTCAATGGCAAGGATGAATAGAAAGGGGGGAAAAGTGTCTGATTTCTGTTTCCCCTTTAAAGGCATCTGTGAGTCTACCTTCATGTACCACCCTGCATTTCATTTCTTCATAAGATCTCTGAAGGACCTTGACTAGTTTTCCTTGTACCCCATAATGTTGGAGAAGTTTCCATAAGGTTTTTTGGTGCAAGTTATCAAAGGTCTTTTCATAGTCAATAAAATTTTGGAAAAGTGGGGAGTTCCACTCAAAGGACTATTTTGCAATGATGTGTAGTGTTGCAATTTGATCTGTGGATGATTTCTTTCAGCGGAAGCCAGCCTGTTGATCTTGTAGTTACCTGTGGACTTGGTCCTTCATTCTATTCTAAATAATTCTGTAACAGACCTTTCCTAGTACAGACAGCAGTGTAATTCCTCTGTAGTTTGCACAGCTGCTGAGATCCCCTTTCTTTGTTATCTTAATAATCTTGATGAGGTATCCTTCTTTCCAATCATTTGGAACTCTCTCTTCTTCCCATATCTTATCAAACAGAGGGTACATTGTATCTATTACTGCTGTCATCATTTCTGTTGTTGAGCTGCTTGATGGCCAGGGCTATTTCTTCCTTATTTGGGGCACTTTCTTCTATTTGTAAGTCTTCATTTGCTGGTTGTATTTCTGGTGTGTCTGTGAGTGGAGGTCTGTTTAGTAATTCCTTTAAGTATTCCACCCAACTTTTTTTGTTGTTCTCCATTCCGTTATTGATTTACCTTCTTTATCTTGAACCGATCTCTCTGACCTCTTGTATCTTCCTGAGAGTTTTCTTTTTATGTCATAGAGCTCTTTCATGTTTCCCTTTCTGGCTGCTTCTTCTGCTGGTGATGCTAGACAATCTGTTTAAACACTTCTATCTTTTTTTATGTTGTTCTTTACCCTCAATCAGCTTCTTTTTGCATTTCTCTTGTGAGAAAATTTCTTAAAACAAAACAAATTAATCAATTTATTTTGGAAGCTACGATAAATGCAGACCTGTTTACCCTCAAACTCTTAAAATCTTACACTATCATCACATAATCATTCAATACATTCTCTTTATAGAAAAAAAAAGTGCAGTATATATAATGTATATACCTCAAAATCATACATTGTACGCCAAAATCGTAAGCGTAAACAGGTCTGCAAGTTAGAAAAAAATTTCTCTCACGGTTATGATCATTCCTGTTAAAATTTGATTTTTTTCAAAAAATACTTTTAGCATTTTTTTTCACTGCTTATGTCAAATTGGAATGATGTAAGTTATAAATCTTTAAAAATATGTAATGTTTGATATTAAGAATGAAATTGTTTATGATGAAGAAAAATACACGTTTTTTTTCCACT